TAAATGCGCAGAGGATCTCCCGGGATACCGTCCTGTGTCCAAAAGTAAATAGCCAGTACAGGGGGATCTCCCAGGATACCGTCCCGTAGTCCCAAATATAAAGGTGCAGGGGGATCTCCCGGAATACCGGTCCGTAGTCCCAAAGTATACATGCAGGGGGATCTCCCGGGATACCGTCCCGTAGTCCCAAAGTAAACACACAACAGTCTCAGGAAAGAATTCTACAGCTCTATCCAAGTTCATATCAAGAAAACAAGAAAAATTCTACTCTAAACATGCTACACAAAATCCAAGTAAGCAATTAAGTCAGATAAGACAGTTAAGTCACATAAGCATGCTTTCCTAATCCTAACAGGAAACTTCAAATACAAGTATTGCTCAATTAAAGGAAAACATAGATATTTACTTAATGAAAACGGGGTTTTTCAACAATTAGCACGTGTACGCACTCGTCACCTCCCGTACACAGCATTCATATAACAACAGTACCAAAATCCTAAGGGGAGTTTCCCCCACATAAGGTTAGGCAAGCCACTTACCTCAAACCAAGCTCAATCAATCCGAAATCACGCTCTTGCCACGAGTATCCAACTTCGAGTGGCCCAAATCTAATGAAATCAATTTCATAATGTAAATATAACTACAACCAACGAGTTTAGCTAAAGGAATCGAAGCTAAGTCAAGAAAATAGATAAAACGCCCAAAAATCCTCCCCGGGCCCACGTCTCGGAATCGGGTTAAAATTACGGATTATGAACACCCATTCACTCACGAGTTCACTCGTACGAAAATCATCCCAATCCGACGTCAAATTCTCACTAAAAACTCAGATTTTCCATTGGGGAACCTTTTCCCCCATTTCCAAACTTTTACCCTCAAATTCCTTAATTAGATGATAAAACTAACAATAGATTAATGTATTAGAACCAAATTAGAGTTAGAATTCATTACCCAATAGTTCTCCTGCAAAACCTCTCAAGGAATCGCCTTCCACCGAGCTCCAATTCGATTTTAGAAGTTATGAACTCAAACCCTCAAATTTTCATATTTCTGCCCAGCGATTTTCGCTTCTGCGAGGGGTCTGCCGGGGAAAGCAGTTAATAGGGGATCGGGGCATTAATTCTCAAAACGACCGGCCGGGTCATTATAATGACAAACCAGATGTCAATAGGTTGCTAAAAGAGTATTTTCCAGGAGATGGAAAAAGGGGTATAACGAGGGGGAAGCTTCTTGATCGCTTCAAGAAAAAGGACTGGAAGTCGGACAAAAATGCGTTCAAGATGGCCTTGATGGTGTTTGTCCATCATTTCATATTCTCATATGCCAATAATCATAGTATCAACAAAGATGATTTTGATATCATTGAAAATGGTCAATATCAGACGTATGCTTGGGAAAAAAGTCATTTGAAGATATATTTAAAGACAATGAGGGACAGACAGTGTGACTATTTGACAATGTATAGGCTCGGAGGTTTGCCACTTGCGTTCCAAATATGGTTTTCTGAGTGTTACTCTATAGTTTACAAGCATCTAGCTGTTCGCGTTGGCACAAATGTGCCACGCATTCTTAATTGGAAAGTCACTGAAACTCCAACATATGCGGATTTGATTATATGATTTCAGTTTTTCTGTAAGTATGTATAATTATGAATATGTCACAATTTCCTTTTTCTACTATTGTAATCTAGTTTTTCTTATTGTAGTTGAACTATAGGAACATTTCCCCTACTCATGAAGAGATGTCAACGCTGAACATCGCCACGCTTTTTGAAGTTAATGTCGATGATGTTGCATCAGGGGAGGTGCCTGCCTTTCACACTGATAATTCTATCTCTGCATCTCCACGTTGTCCTCAGAATATGGAGCAACAGTCTAAACGACCATATCCTCAGAATACAGAGCAACAGCCTAAACCGAGTTATGATCCTTCGGCGCGCATTGACCAGTTGAATGCTGAAGTTGAGAAGTTGAGGAGTGTTGTTGGAAAGGTACTGCAGCTTTAGCTTTTCTGTAGTTTATCGGTACTTTTTGTATATACATGATTTTGGTTATAAACATGGTTGTTGATGTACTTTTGTTGTTTTTGATGTTTTTTGTTGTAGTTGACTGATACAGTTACGACACTCAGCAGTTATGTAGTTTCTTCCTTTAAAAAAGTGTTCAGTTTTCTGAATATGAAGGAAACCAAGCAAACGAGGGAGGAGGTTCCTGATTCTAAGTTAATGTTTTACTGATAAAACCAAATCACTCAACAGTTATGCCTTCTCTGAATCATCACCCAATAATTACGCCTTCTCTTTCTATTATTTTTTATTAGATTCATCAGTGCGTGTCTGATGACGATACATCTGGTCTCGGCGAATATGATGGCTATTAATATGATATTGTTCCTGACTTTGTCGAGCAAGTGAATCAAGATAACACGCTAGCTGACCAAACAGATTTAGGTGTCAAAGCAAACGAGGGAGTTATTGATGGTGTTGATCATGGTATTCGTTCTGCATTTTATCTTTTTTGTCTAATTTTTCTTTTCTTCATTTTGAAAGTTTTTTATTATTGGTTTTCTCTGTCTAAGAGGCAGCAGGTGATGCCAAGGGTCATACATTTTGAGATGACATTGGCGATGAAGATTTAGCTACGCTACATATGTCGCAAATTGTGCTTCACAGACCACCCGTCATAGACGTAGAAAAGGATTATATTTCTCCTGAACAGTCGGTTCGACAGAAAATACCAGGAAAATATGCCAAATCTCCGTATTTGCCGGTTTTTTATTCGGGGGCATCAGGATCAGCACACAAGCTCATTTTTTATATCAAGTATCCTTTCACGATCGAAATTGATGATTTTGATCCCTTGTTGCCATTGGCCAAAGAGTTTTACGCGTTTGTTGATAATGGGATGGATACGAGGCGAAGGTAGCTTAACTTTCTTTAAGCTTTCATGTTCTGATTTTATACTTGTCAATGAAGGTAGTTCTGATTACTTTTTATTTTTTGTGATTTGAAGTGCCAAAATATTTATACCGATGAAGTAAATAAGCTTGCGGAAGCTTTTACTTTCGGCTCGTGTCATGTGACCACAAAGGATTGGTTCCACTCACTTGCGTATTATGGTCGACCTTTGATTGACACGGTATTTAATAACTTTCTGTCCTAATGCCTTTTTTTGTTACGTATCTTTATTGTTTGAGCCCATAGTATATACATAACTATGTATAATCAAATGCAAGATTTTTGTATAATCATGATATATGATTGTATAACCTTATATAAATATGTATAGCTCTGTATAATAGTGTATAAATTTGTATATTTAGAAAATATGCATCATATATTGATTTTTTTGTATTACTTTGAATCATTTAGTAGTGATGGTTGTTTTTGTTTTATTTTTCTTGTCTCAGCACTTGGATGTCATCTTTTACTATTTGAGGAAGAGGGAAAAATATGGACCGAATGTTGCCATAAGGTTTACTACAACGAACTTTGCCTTTGGTAACAAGATCAATTCATTGTATAAGAATGTCAAAGTGAAGCAAGATTCTTCTGTGATTCCTGAAGGGCATGAAATAGAAGAGTACATTAGAGGCTTTTATTGTGATGCAAATGTAGCGTGGCACACTGTTGACCACGTCTTATTCCCTATTTATGTCAAGCGTGGAAGAGCAAAATTGGGCCACTGGGTTTTGGGGTTGTTTACGTTCTTAGATAGGTGCAACCACATCTATGACTCTAACCATGGAGCTATTAATGATAGAGTTGCTTTGTATGCTGCATTACCTTATGCAATTTTGATACCTTACTTCTTGAATAGTTCTAATTTTTATATCAAGAAGAAGGGCATTAATTGGAACAGTGGTGCATATACCGATAAATCCCATTCTGATGCTTTGCAGATTAATCTAGTTAATAATGTGCCACAACAGATCAAATGGTAGGTTAATCCCAGTTGTTTTACTATTTGTGTACCTATTTACAGTAACGTACAGAGAACTTGATTTTTTTTTAATGATAGTGATTGTGGTGCTTTTGTTGCTGGCTTTGCTGAGTATTTCATCCTGGGTAAGGAAATCCGAAAAGATAATTTTGACATTGAGACACTTCGCACTAGGTGGGGATCTCTGTTGTGGGATTATGGAAGGAAAAAATAATATTCCGGTGCAATTAGTGGTGATGAAATCACAGGAAGACTTTTCAGGAAGAGGAAGAGGGGACGACCGAGAAAGTAGTTCTGTTTTTTTTCATTTTAATGTAGATGACTTTTTTTGTGTAGTTTGTGGTAGTCATTACACATTGTTGTTGTGAATGAATTACATTTTAATGAATATTTCAGTTGCTTTTTTCTTTAATAAAGTATGTATTTTCGTTATTGTTGCAGTTTTGTCAATGTTGCAAGGTTTATACATATGTATACAATTTTATACAAACTTATACTCTCATTTATACATCTGTATACATATAATGACACTGATTGTTTGCAGTTCTATTTTGCATTTGTACAATCTATCAATATATTTAGCACCATTAAAAACAGCAATACACTATTATTGGATAATCAAAACATGTATAATGAAACATATTTAACATAATTGCAACATATAGTGTAAATTGTAATTCTTTATTGACATTTGTAACTCAATTGCTTGTGAAACTTAACTACTCAATATTTGTAACTCTATTGTTTGTGAAACTTAACTACTCAACATGACAACATATGTAATAGGAGGTGTTATGTTTCCAACTATTTATTTTGGTCGATTCCTACATGTTTTCCTATTGTGACCACTTTGTCCACACACAGAACATGAAAACCCCCTCTTATACTCTTTCTCTGAAGCGGTTTGAGTCTTTCCTTTCTTGGCTTTCCTGCCTTTCTTCTCCCTTTAGGTGGTAGGACCACATTTTCCAGCACCTCTGTTGGGATTACCCATAAACTCTCATCTAGCATCGGATTCACTGGAAATTCATAAGTTCTAAAGAGGTTATCCTTCTTGTACTAAAAAGAGCAATACTGGCAAGGTTTCAACTGCTGGTTCTTCAAAACCGCCCAAGAATGCGGACATGGAAGTACATCCATTTGAAATTTGCTGCAACTGCATGTTCCCTCTTCAAGGAACACTATGTTTCGCCTTACCCCTTCAAGCACAGTATATAACTGCTCCATAGCAGGCCTCACCTGCAAAAGTTTTTTTTCTTTAAAAAAAGAAAAAGTTAAAGCACATTATACATTATTATACAGAGTTATACATCCTTATACAAGCATTAAAATGCAAGTCAGCAGTGCCATGCATCATTATATTTGATTCGTTTTACCGTCATTTGCTCCGATGCAATCAGATTTTCCCGAAGAAGTTTGTCGTACTTCGCCAAGCTCTGTAGATGTCTCCATTGCACTTTTTTTGTTTTTGTTGTTCCACTGTTGTAGCAAATTTGTCATGTACTCCAACAATCGCATTATTGGTAGCTCTCTAGCATCTTTGTTTGCTGCATTAGTTGACTCTGCAATATTGGAAGTCATTACCATCGACCTTTTCACTTTGGAGTATGCCCTAGACCACCTTTAGTAGCCAATTTCAAAGAAGTAAGGCTGCAACCTCGGATCAATTTTGCACATCTCTGTCATATGGTAGTCAAATTTCTCTATCGTGTAAGCTCTAGCCAAAGCGAAGAAGATATCCTTCAATTGTTTGTGATGTTTCTTGAATGTGTGCTTGACGTTATGCCACAAGTGAAACATGCAAATACAATGTGGAACTTCTGTGTACACAGCTTTTATGACATTGAAGATGCTTTCATTTCTATCTGAAACTATACACATCCCTTCCATAACACCAAAAGTACCCTTTATCTGGACGAAGAACCACTCCCAAGATTTATTATTCTCTGAATCTACAATTGCATATGCAAGAGAAAGGATTTTTCCTATTTATACAAAGTAGATATTAGGATTCAGACAATTATACAAATCTTATACACAGTTATACACGAATAGGCAACTTTATACATACTGTAAATCTTATAAAACGGCAGCTCTAAAATCCTATACACGCTTATACATGAAATTACAACATTATACAAACTGCAGAAACAAGGTAGATGCAGTCAACTCACCAGCTCCATCCTGTGTGCAAGCAGTCAATATGGTACCCTTATATGCTGCTTTAAGGAAACTTCCATCAACAACCATTATCAGCCTGCAATGCTCCCAACCCTTGATAGATGCATATAGCGAAACATATGCATAAAGAAAGCATCCATCTTCTGATTTGTGCAACTTTGTAACAGTTCCTGGATTTGTATGCTCCAACATATACAAATATCTCGGCAACTCCTTATATAAATCGATCGGATTCCCTCTTATCATTGCCATTTCTATCTCTTTAGCTCTCTATGCTTTCATGTAGATCACTTCAACCCCATGTTGCTTTTGTATGTCCTCTATTACATCATGTTGGCCCAAGATCAGTTGAAGTTTTGAAGAATGACAAACGAACTCAGTGAAGGACCAGGTTCATCTAAGGAGACACAGTTGTTATGGCTCATACACATGAGATGCACGTGAAGAAGATAAGTCCTTGAGATCAAGCAGCAATATCTTGATGAATATCTTCTGAACTGATCGAAAAGATTGCATATAGGATAAGGAGTTGAAGTCTCCTTATGAAAAGAGAATTACATTCGGATCAAGAATATGGATTAGGAGTTAGAGTTGTTCTTGGACTCGAATTGTCAAAGGATCCACAATTCGAGTTCTTATCAAACTCTGATTACTAACTCTATAAATATTACGATTGTTCTCTTTTACAGGTGATTGCACATAAGCTGAAGTTAAACCAAATTGAGAGCAAAAGAGCTAGGCGATTGTTGCAAGCAATTTGTGTGTGATACAAGTGTGCAAATCTGAAGCTACAAGAACTAAGTGTGAAGAACCAATTCCATTGTGTCTTTCTTTATTTCTAGTTCAATTGTAGTAGGTGTTTTAACATTGTACCTTTCCAGCTTTCTTAGAAGCAATTGTATTAGGTGCATTGAGTATTCAAGTTAGAGTTAACTTGAAAGTGTCGCAACAGTTGAGGCTGTGTGCCACACTGGGATTAGAGTTAATCCTTAGGTTTACAAAGAGTTTTTGTAAATGCTGTTTTGGCTCAGTAATTTTAGTGGAAGTTTGGGAAAATCCTACAGAGTAGTAGGTCGTGGTTTTTTCACCTTTTGAGCCAGGTGTTTTCCACGTAAAATCTCTGTGTTCTTTAGTTTATGCATTTATTATTCCGCAAACTGCAATTTCCTGGAAGGTTTATCCTGGAAGAAGACAAGGTTGAGAAGATCTTAACTAGAGTTCTGCCAATTTCCTGGGAAAGCAAAATCACAGCCATTCAGGAATCCAAGAATATTGCTACCCTAAAATTGGATGAACTGATTGGAAATCTGACTGCCTATGAATTGAGAAGGCAGACTATGAAGATGGATGCTCCAAAGAAAGAAAGAAGTCTGGCTCTCAGAATCTCAGAAGGATCAGATCTTGAAGATGATGAGATGGCTATGATAACCAGGGATTTCAAAAAGTATCTTATGAGAGGAAAGGGTGCTTCAAGAGGAACAACCTCCAACAAATCTCGGGCTCCTGAGAAGCAGGCTAATGATGGTTGCTATAAGTGTGGTAAGACAGACCACATGATCAAGAATTGACCTCAATGGGAGATTGAGTGGAAGAAAGAAAGAGCTGAACGGAGAAACAGGAAGAAGGAACAGGTCCAACCAAAAAGGAACAAAGGTTCAACTAAAGCTATGGTTGCTGCATGGGGAGAAACCTCAGATGAGGGCTCAGAAGATGAAGCTGAAGATGAGAAAGCTCTCATGGCCATCGGAGAATCAGAGGATGAACAGGAGGTAAGTATCCTACATCTTAAAGAAAAGATTAAATTTTTGTCTAAAGAAAGGTTGGCTGAGCTATTATTGGACTTCATTGATGAGTCTGAAATAATAAACAGTGAGAAGGATGTTCTGTCTAGGGAATGTGTTATCCTAGAAGAAAAATGCAAAAGGATAGAGTCTAGGGCTGATGAGAGTGACAACACAAATGCTGAGTTGAAGAACCAGGTTCATGAACTTGAAAATAATGTCCTTGAACTCAGATTTGAAAATATTAAACTAAAATTAGGGACAAGAAAGAAAATGGTTGATCAATCATTTCTCACACTAGAAGAAAATCTAGGAAAAATGAAAGATGAACTATATAAGAAAGATGAATTGATTAAGGCCCTAAAGGAAGATTTAGGAAAGGTAAAGCATGAACTAGACAGAACATGCAAATGGAACAAGGCTTCTGATGCACTCTCCTAGTTGCAAGAACATCACAGCAGCAACAAGAGAGGACTTGGGTTTGGGACACAAGCTCCAAAATGGGATCCCAAAAATAAGTACCTCACACTTCCTGAAAATAAGATCTGCACACACTGTGGTAAGACTGGCCATTACAAAAATGAATGCAATGCAAAAGAAAAGGCCAGTCAAAAGAACAAAGCCTTTGTTCAGACAAAACACAAACTGCCTGGTTGGGGAAAGAAAAATTTAATTCATCCTTTTGCCCATAGAAAGGGACCCAAACTAGTTTGGGTTCCTAAGACTAACCCATGATTTCATTTTGCAGGTCCAAGTGAAGGGGAGTAGCCAAATATGGTACATGGATAGTGGCTGCTCAAAACATATGACTGGGAACAAGGACCAGTTCCTTTCACTTGAGAACCTAAAAGGAGGTAATGTCTCCTTTGGAAATGGAAAGAAATGTGAGATCATTGGGGTTGGAAAGGAAGGAAAGATAGACTCTCATTCCATTGAGAATGTCTATTTGATAGATGGCTTATAATATAGCCTGATAAGTGTGTCACAACTGTGTGACAGAGGTAATCTTGTAGCTTTCACCTCTACCAAATGCTTTGTGATTAACCTTACTACTAACAAGATTGTTTTGCAGGGAAAGAGAGTTAACAATATTTACATTGTAGATTTGTCAACTCTCTCTGAAAATGAACTCACTTGCCTAAGTGTGTTAATTAATGATCCCCTCCTTTGGCACAAAAGACTTGGTCATGCCAGTCTAAATCAATTGAACAAATTAGTCTCCAAAGACTTGGTGATAGGGTTACCTAATATCAAGTTTAAGGAAGACAAAGTTTGTGAGGCATGTGCAAGGGGGAAGCAGGTAAGGTCATCTTTCAAATCCAAGAAAATGGTAAGTACGTCCAAGACATTGGAACTGGTTCATATGGATCTCTGCGGTCCAATGAGAACCATGAGCAGAGGTGGAAAGAGATATGTAATGGTGCTTGTTGATGATTACTCTAGATTTACCTGGGTGTTGTTTCTAACCTCTAAAGATGAAGCATTTGAAATGTTCACTGATTTTGTTAGAAAAACTCAGAAACAGTTAGGAAATCAACTTGCATCCATTAGGTCTGATCATGGAACTGAATTTGAAAATGCAAAGTTTGCTAAATTTTGTGATGAAAATGGAATAGATCATAATTTTTCTGCCCCTAGGACTCCTCAGCAAAATGGGGTAGTTGAAAGGAAGAACAGGACCCTTGAGGATATGGCAAGGACCATGCTACTTTCCAGTAAACTACCTCATAGCTTCTGGGCAGAGGCTATAAACACTGCTTGTTATATAATAAATAGATGCATGACTAGACCTCATGTACAGAAAACTCCCTATGAGTTACTTAAAGGGAGAAAACCAAACATATCCCATCTTAGGGCTTTTGGTTGTAAGTGCTATGTGCACAATAATGGCAAAGACTCCCTAGGTAAGTTTGATCCCAGAAGTGATGAGGGAGTATTCTTGGGATATTCTTCACATAGCAAAGCATATAAAGTGTTTAATAAAAGAACTCTATGTGTTGAAGAGAGTGTACATGTTGTGTTTGATGAATCTAACACTCTTTCTGAGAGACAGGAACATGAAGATGAAGCCATTGGACTGGTGAGACAATTGACTGAAGCCACAGCACAAGTAAAAGTGGCATCAAAGGAAGGAGCAGGTGATGGAACAGGTCCTCTCACCCAGGGCAACCTGACAGGGGGAACCAATCTGAAGGAACCTGTACCTGAACCTGTTCCTCTGCAGCATAACTATGAAGGAGAATCTAGCAGGAACCAGATGGTGGGGAAATCTTACAAGTACCTGAATTCTCACCCCATTGAGAACATCATCAATGATCCAACATCTGGGGTCAAGACAAGATCACAATTGAAGAACCTGTGTGCATTTGATGCTTTTCTGTCCCTCATTGAACCTAAGAATGTGAGTGAAGCTCTACAAGATGTAGATTGGGTCAATGCTATGTAGGATGAGCTCAATCAGTTTGAAAGAAGCCAAGTCTGGCACTTAGTTCCAAAACCAAAAGACAGGTCAGTCATTGGGACAAAATGGGTCTTCAGGAACAAACTAGATGAAGATGGAACAGTTACAAGAAATAAGGCAAGGTTGGTGGTTCAAGGCTATAGTCAAGAGGAAGGCAT